ACTCATTATTGCCAGTAGTAATACCTTTGATGTACTCAATACTTCTAATCATACAACCAAGTATTTCAGCGACAAAAATAATGAGGTACGGTGACAGAGGGTCACCTTGCCTGTATCCATGTTCATTTACGAAAGAAATCAGTGAGTTTACCATGTTCGATGACGTAGAATGTTGTTTCATATGTCAGTATATTTATCCAACGAATGATTTCAGGACCAAAACCAAATTTGACTTAAACAATATTCAAGAACTCTTTTGATACTGGGTTTCTAGAAATAAGCTATCATCAATCTTAAGCTGTAATTCCTTTGGATTATCATAACTGACTGGTTCAGATATTGTGTATTCATCAATGGTTTCTTTTATAGCATTTCTAACTTAAGTTTCCATAATCTGGGAAGCAAGGAATTATTAAACTCCCAATAACCTCTCCCTCTTTCTTGGTTAAGAGTTTGGAAAAAATAGGGAAATAGTAGAATGATCAGATTTATATCCTGGTAAAATATTGGAATAGGTTAGGTCACAAATGTCTTGTGAAATAATGAACAAATCTAATCTAGCTTGTTCCCCTGGATATTGTTCCACCACGTATATCTCTTTTAAACGTCACATGCAACCAAAAAATCAAACATAATTAAAACATAATTATCACTTATTCAGGACATATAATATACATTGCTGGTTACGAAAAAATATATAAACAAAATTATAAGCGTACAATCGCAAATCGAAAGTGCAAAATTGTGTACTTCGGTTTACTTCCCCAGAAACGAAGCAGCCGGGATACCGAACCCAGTCAGAGCGGGTAGGTGTGCACTCAAGTGTAACGGCTGGTTCATTTGCAGATGCCTTCACGGCTAATTGTGTGTGTATATATAGAGAGATGTTGGGTTTTGTAAATAAATGCTCATTTTTTGTGTATAACATTTTGCAATCAACAGACATCATAACATGTCATGTGTTCAAGTATCACACCTGCCTGTCTGTGTAATTACATAATGTGACAGAGACCGAACTCGGGCCATAAATCAATGCATTTTGTTTATGGTGTATAGCCTGATTGGAGTTAGGTTCAAATTGCATGTGGTCAGTGATAGCAGCTGTGTATTGAATATTGTCATTAGCAGACAGGCAGGCAGACACACAGGTGTCAATAAAACAAGACATTGAGTTTTGTCTGTGACAACGACATATCTATATCACAGTTAAACATTCTGTCAACGCTAAATAATGACATTGCTTTTAAGTATCGAACTGAGAAAGTGTCTCGGTAAGAAGAACGTGTGGTGAAATAGACAAATGAAATTATATAAACAGTTAATTTACTGTCATAACATATAAAAAGCTCGCGCCTGTGAGATATCAACAAAACATTAGAAAAATAGCTCACACCAAAGCCTTCACCGAGTATTCACCGGACAACCTGCTTCCAAGATGCGCGAACCTATTTACTTGCGCACGTGCTATGAGCGCAACCCAGCTGTTGAAACCCGTTTTCCCCCGAAAAGTCTGGGGAAAATTAGTGAAACGTTTGAACTCCGATTTCGCGCGTTTTTTCATCACGTTATTTTTCAACTTTATAAGTTGAATTTGCATTTTGACGATTTGTTTCGGTATGTCCATACCGAAAGGTATCAGAATCTGCAAAGTTGTGTTTTACGTTGCATGTGACCTTTATTTTTATTAAATTCTCACAGAATATCGAAAAGTTGTAATATTCAAGACAGTTCAATACCTCTTCCCTGGAGTTTGGGTTAGTTATGTATTTGTAATTCTCTAAATCTATTGATGTGTCTAAGACTAAGTTCCAATCACCCACAATAACAATAGATTCATTTCCGAAATCATACATATTTTCAAACATGTTTCTATAGAATTTGGGTTATCGTTATTTGGTCCATAGAGATTAGTAAGTGTAAATCGTTCATCTTCTACAGTTAGATCTGCGATGATATACTTTCCATTTTCATCGATAATGATTATTGTTCTATGGATGGTGTAGTCAATATCATTAATCAAAAGTATTACGTCGCTTCTTGCGCTAGATTTATTGGGAGCTTATACATTGCAGACCCCGCTCATAACTTCCTTCCTCTTATATTTGTCAGCTAAACCTCTGCAATTTGATGGAATCATTCTAATTTTTTGTGTCTTGGTAATTTCAAATGGCGATTTTGTTATGGAAACAATAAGGCTCTAAGATAGACATATATACTGATAAATGACATGGCAGGTTAGAATTGAATGTAATTATACAGGTTTTAAGAGCGTGCCATTTAAGACATGAGAAGTCAATATGGTAAGTGTAGTGTCTAACAAGCGTAACAGAGGGGAACATGTTTGCTTCCATTCATTTCTCGGTGCTCCTATAATTTGAAATAACTTGAAATTTCAAGTATTTTCTAGTTACTTCAAGTTTCTTTCAAAAGCTTGAAATGTCGATTATTTTCTCATTACTTCAATTGTTTTTTTTGTGCTTCAATTGATCTCTCGTTGCTTCTAGTTTATTTCAATAACTTGAAATTTCGAGACTATACTCGAAGCAACGGGAATTTAATGGAAGCAACAAGACAATACTTGAAATTTGAAGAAAATATTTGAAATCATGAGAAACTAATCTAAGGAACAAAAACAAAAAAACTTGAAATTTCAATTTAAAGAAACAACAACTTATATATAAATTAAAGTAACGAGAAAATGAATGAACTAACGAGAACATAATTGAAATAACGAGAAAATACTCCCAAGCACCGACAAAATAATCGAAACGACGAGAAATGTTGCTGAAAAAATGTTTATGCTGCACATGTGGCAACATTAGGTTTTCGTACTAACGCTGTGGTAAGCACTATCTCTGCTATATTATGGCGGTAAGGTCCCTACCGTTCGATTATATAAAACATGCATGTAGTCACGTCCTTAAACAAGGTGGTGTTACAGAAATACAATACTAAACCAAATCTTCATATTGCAAAGGGGGATGGCCAGAAGTCACCATGTGTGTTGATACTGAAAGATGTATATTCATAAAAATGACCATTCATTTGTTGTTATCTTCCAGTCTAAAAGGTACAATGGAGTCGTTGCTGCTTAGATATAAACACACATGGACGATGGTGATAATCAGTGTGTTTGTTTCGTTGATCATTTCCGCAAAGGCTGGAAGTGATGGGTTCGAGATGATCCAACGACAGTTTAAGAAATCAGTCTACCAGTTCAGCTTCAATGTATCGGTTCAAGAGAAAATGAAGGTTGTGTCCGCCTTGAATTGCTTTGTCCAGTGTCGTCAGTTGACCGGATGCCTTGGAGTCCAATACCGAAACCCCACGTCGTCTTGTACGAAGTACCGCCTCTCCAACAGCACGCTTGATCCTCCCGTGGCACCTGGTTCTGGTGTTTGGTATGTTTCAGGTAAACATACAAGTTTTTATTGCAAACTTATCAAACCCGTGAAGATCCAAGTTAGAATTGGTCTTCTGTAACCCTGGGTAACATCATCTTCAACTGAAATGACTCTTACTCTTATCATTTGTTATCCCATGTTGTCAATAGTTTTATATTTGATGAGGACGTTTACATGATGTCATCTGTAATTTTATCATCTGTATTTCTGAAAATTTCCAAAAGGGTCTGATGCACAAACATTATTTGAGTAGGAATATGCATGACATGTGATCGTAGATCCTTTGCTGAAACAGGTAAATGGGACGTAACAGAATTAAATAAAGCCAACGGGATTCATGAAAGACGTGATTTTGGGGACATTTAATCAAAAGTTCATCACACCTCTTCATTAAAATTGCAGTTGTTTCGTATTAGCATTACAGTAGCTGTTGCATCGATACTTCTTCAATGGTGCAACAAAAGCATCTGTATAACAATATGTGTGCTACCACAGTGAATGTTCTGATGATAATGGTGATGGTGATGATGATGATGATGATGATAATGATGGTGGTGATGGTGATGATGAGGATGGCGATGGCGATGGTGATGATGATGATGATGATGATGATGATGATGATGATGGTGATGATGATGGTGATGATGATGATGATGATGATGATGGTGATGATGATGGTGATGATGATGGTGATGATTATGATGATGATGATGATGATGATGATGATGATGATGATGATGATGATGATGATGATGATGATGATGATGATGATGATGATGATGATGATGATGATGATGATGATGATGATGATGATGATGATGATGATGATGATGATGATGATGATGATGATGATGATGATGATGATGATGATGATGATGATGATGATGATGATGATGATGATGATGATGATGATGATGATGATGATGATGATGATGATGATGATGATGATGATGATGATGATGATGATGATGATGATGATGATGATGATGATGATGATGATGATGATGATGATGATGATGATGATGATGATGATGATGATGATGATGATGATGATGATGATGATGATGATGATGATGATGATGATGATGATGATGATGATGATGATGATGATGATGATGATGATGATGATGATGATGATGATGATGATGATGATGATGATGATGATGATGATGATGATGATGATGATGATGATGATGATGATGATGATGATGATGATGATGATGATGATGATGATGATGATGATGATGATGATGATGATGATGATGATGATGATGATGATGATGATGATGATGATGATGATGATGATGATGATGATGATGATGATGATGATGATGATGATGATGATGATGATGATGATGATGATGATGATGATGATGATGATGATGATGATGATGATGATGATGATGATGATGATGATGATGATGATGATGATGATGATGATGATGATGATGATGATGATGATGATGATGATGATGATGATGATGATGATGATGATGATGATGATGATGATGATGATGATGATGATGATGATGATGATGATGATGATGATGATGATGATGATGATGATGATGATGATGATGATGATGATGATGATGATGATGATGATGATGATGATGATGATGATGATGATGATGATGATGATGATGATGATGATGATGATGATGATGATGATGATGATGATGATGATGATGATGATGATGATGATGATGATGATGATGATGATGATGATGATGATGATGATGATGATGATGATGATGATGATGATGATGATGATGATGATGATGATGATGATGATGATGATGATGATGATGATGATGATGATGATGATGATGATGATGATGATGATGATGATGATGATGATGATGATGATGATGATGATGATGATGATGATGATGATGATGATGATGATGATGATGATGATGATGATGATGATGATGATGATGATGATGATGATGATGATGATGATGATGATGATGATGATGATGATGATGATGATGATGATGATGATGATGATGATGATGATGATGATGATGATGATGATGATGATGATGATGATGATGATGATGATGATGATGATGATGATGATGATGATGATGATGATGATGATGATGATGATGATGATGATGATGATGATGATGATGATGATGATGATGATGATGATGATGATGATGATGATGATGATGATGATGATGATGATGATGATGATGATGATGATGATGATGATGATGATGATGATGATGATGATGATGATGATGATGATGATGATGATGATGATGATGATGATGATGATGATGATGATGATGATGATGATGATGATGATGATGATGATGATGATGATGATGATGATGATGATGATGATGATGATGATGATGATGATGATGATGATGATGATGATGATGATGATGATGATGATGATGATGATGATGATGATGATGATGATGATGATGATGATGATGATGATGATGATGATGATGATGATGATGATGATGATGATGATGATGATGATGATGATGATGATGATGATGATGATGATGATGATGATGATGATGATGATGATGATGATGATGATGATGATGATGATGATGATGATGATGATGATGATGATGATGATGATGATGATGATGATGATGATGATGATGATGATGATGATGATGATGATGATGATGATGATGATGATGATGATGATGATGATGATGATGATGATGATGATGATGATGATGATGATGATGATGATGATGATGATGATGATGATGATGATGATGATGATGATGATGATGATGATGATGATGATGATGATGATGATGATGATGATGATGATGATGATGATGATGATGATGATGATGATGATGATGATGATGATGATGATGATGATGATGATGATGATGATGATGATGATGATGATGATGATGATGATGATGATGATGATGATGATGATGATGATGATGATGATGATGATGATGATGATGATGATGATGATGATGATGATGATGATGATGATGATGATGATGATGATGATGATGATGATGATGATGATGATGATGATGATGATGATGATGATGATGATGATGATGATGATGATGATGATGATGATGATGATGATGATGATGATGATGATGATGATGATGATGATGATGATGATGATGATGATGATGATGATGATGATGATGATGATGATGATGATGATGATGATGATGATGATGATGATGATGATGATGATGATGATGATGATGATGATGATGATGATGATGATGATGATGATGATGATGATGATGATGATGATGATGATGATGATGATGATGATGATGATGATGATGATGATGATGATGATGATGATGATGATGATGATGATGATGATGATGATGATGATGATGATGATGATGATGATGATGATGATGATGATGATGATGATGATGATGATGATGATGATGATGATGATGATGATGATGATGATGATGATGATGATGATGATGATGATGATGATGATGATGATGATGATGATGATGATGATGATGATGATGATGATGATGATGATGATGATGATGATGATGATGATGATGATGATGATGATGATGATGATGATGATGATGATGATGATGATGATGATGATGATGATGATGATGATGATGATGATGATGATGATGATGATGATGATGATGATGATGATGATGATGATGATGATGATGATGATGATGATGATGATGATGATGATGATGATGATGATGATGATGATGATGATGATGATGATGATGATGATGATGATGATGATGATGATGATGATGATGATGATGATGATGATGATGATGATGATGATGATGATGATGATGATGATGATGATGATGATGATGATGATGATGATGATGATGATGATGATGATGATGATGATGATGATGATGATGATGATGATGATGATGATGATGATGATGATGATGATGATGATGATGATGATGATGATGATGATGATGATGATGATGATGATGATGATGATGATGATGATGATGATGATGATGATGATGATGATGATGATGATGATGATGATGATGATGATGATGATGATGATGATGATGATGATGATGATGATGATGATGATGATGATGATGATGATGATGATGATGATGATGATGATGATGATGATGATGATGATGATGATGATGATGATGATGATGATGATGATGATGATGATGATGATGATGATGATGATGATGATGATGATGATGATGATGATGATGATGATGATGATGATGATGATGATGATGATGATGATGATGATGATGATGATGATGATGATGATGATGATGATGATGATGATGATGATGATGATGATGATGATGATGATGATGATGATGATGATGATGATGATGATGATGATGATGATGATGATGATGATGATGATGATGATGATGATGATGATGATGATGATGATGATGATGATGATGATGATGATGATGATGATGATGATGATGATGATGATGATGATGATGATGATGATGATGATGATGATGATGATGATGATGATGATGATGATGATGATGATGATGATGATGATGATGATGATGATGATGATGATGATGATGATGATGATGATGATGATGATGATGATGATGATGATGATGATGATGATGATGATGATGATGATGATGATGATGATGATGATGATGATGATGATGATGATGATGATGATGATGATGATGATGATGATGATGATGATGATGATGATGATGATGATGATGATGATGATGATGATGATGATGATGATGATGATGATGATGATGATGATGATGATGATGATGATGATGATGATGATGATGATGATGATGATGATGATGATGATGATGATGATGATGATGATGATGATGATGATGATGATGATGATGATGATGATGATGATGATGATGATGATGATGATGATGATGATGATGATGATGATGATGATGATGATGATGATGATGATGATGATGATGATGATGATGATGATGATGATGATGATGATGATGATGATGATGATGATGATGATGATGATGATGATGATGATGATGATGATGATGATGATGATGATGATGATGATGATGATGATGATGATGATGATGATGATGATGATGATGATGATGATGATGATGATGATGATGATGATGATGATGATGATGATGATGATGATGATGATGATGATGATGATGATGATGATGATGATGATGATGATGATGATGATGATGATGATGATGATGATGATGATGATGATGATGATGATGATGATGATGATGATGATGATGATGATGATGATGATGATGATGATGATGATGATGATGATGATGATGATGATGATGATGATGATGATGATGATGATGATGATGATGATGATGATGATGATGATGATGATGATGATGATGATGATGATGATGATGATGATGATGATGATGATGATGATGATGATGATGATGATGATGATGATGATGATGATGATGATGATGATGATGATGATGATGATGATGATGATGATGATGATGATGATGATGATGATGATGATGATGATGATGATGATGATGATGATGATGATGATGATGATGATGATGATGATGATGATGATGATGATGATGATGATGATGATGATGATGATGATGATGATGATGATGATGATGATGATGATGATGATGATGATGATGATGATGATGATGATGATGATGATGATGATGATGATGATGATGATGATGATGATGATGATGATGATGATGATGATGATGATGATGATGATGATGATGATGATGATGATGATGATGATGATGATGATGATGATGATGATGATGATGATGATGATGATGATGATGATGATGATGATGATGATGATGATGATGATGATGATGATGATGATGATGATGATGATGATGATGATGATGATGATGATGATGATGATGATGATGATGATGATGATGATGATGATGATGATGATGATGATGATGATGATGATGATGATGATGATGATGATGATGATGATGATGATGATGATGATGATGATGATGATGATGATGATGATGATGATGATGATGATGATGATGATGATGATGATGATGATGATGATGATGATGATGATGATGATGATGATGATGATGATGATGATGATGATGATGATGATGATGATGATGATGATGATGATGATGATGATGATGATGATGATGATGATGATGATGATGAATGAGAAAAACTCGAAGCGACGAGAAATTATTCGAAGTAACGAGAAAGTAGTGGAAGCAAAGAGAAAATAAAGTTTCTGAGAAACTTCGCTGAAAAATATTTTATACTACAAAAGTGACAGCATTGTCATTGGTTATTAATCACATTCATTTACTGAGAACATTTACACGACGTCTCGAGCAGCGAGTGACATTTTAAAAAGGTAATGATATGTTTGCGACAAATAGATATTATCACGAAAACGGCAATAAATTCCCCACTATGTCTGTAATACGAGTACCATTTGTATAAGATCAGTGTATCTTAATGGGGTGAAGTATTAGTACTACGATTGTAGATTCAGCTGATCGATTTAAAGTCTCAAATGAGTGTGTTGTGCATTATTGGGTGTTAAAAGTACGAAAGCCTAATGCTGCAAAGTGGCAGTAAAATATTTATGGTACAAAGATTGCAGCATAAGACTTTTTTAGAACGAAAGCCTAGTGCTGCAAAGTGGCAGTAAATTTATGGTACAAAGATTGCAGCATAAGACTTTTTTAGAACGAAAGCCTAGTGCTGCAAAGTGGCAGTAAAATATTTATGATACAAAGATTGCAGCATAAGGCTTTCTTAGAACGAAAGTCTAGTGCTGCAAAGTGGCAGTATAATATTTATGGTACAAAGATTGCAGCATAAGGCTTTCTTAGAACGAAAGCCTAGTGCTGCAAAGTGGCAGTAAAATATTTATGGTACAAAGATTGCAGCATAAGGCTTTCTTAGAACGAAAGTCTAATGCGCCACTTTTGTCCGTTAAAATACTTTTTCAGCCAGATTTCTCAGTATTGTACTTATTTTCTCGCTGCTTCGAGTATTTACTCGTAACTTTGTTTGATTTATCCTTTCTTCGAGTATTTTCTCATTACTTCAATTATTTTTTCTTTGCTACGATTGATATCTGTTTTTTATTTGTTTCTTTTCATGTTTTTATTGTTCCCAAGGGTACATCGTTACACATCAATTCACATTTTGTGAGACAGAATTCGAAATTACACAAAAGTTCACATTTTCAGTGTTTTTGACACATAGAGTTCAAAATTAAGTACCGAATATAGGTGTCCATGTTGTGTTAAGATTTTGAAAGCTATTATTTTTAATTGCAATGAACTTTTCCACATTGAACATTTCTCTCAAAACAAAAAAGAAACCTTTGAAGTATGTAGGTTAATCCCAAATAAATGTATATATTGTTTGGCAGTTAGGATAATATGATTTAATAATCTATCACTGTATAATGTACCAAACCAAACAAGGTATTTTGTTATTTTAGTTGTGTTCTCTATATGTGTATTCATCCAAACTTCAAGTTCATTCCAGAATGTTTGTGTTTCTCTAAACATGACAAATACTCTCGTTCAGCTCATTAAAAAAAAACAGCAAACAGAATTGTCAACAAGTTTCATTTTAAGCAGTTCATTTTATGAATAGATAATACCATGTAAAATTTTGTATCGGAAATCAAGTAGTTTGACATTTTTGAATCACTTCTGTACGTCATAAAAATCTGAGTCCCATCGACAGTAACATTAGCGAAAGATGCTTGTCATTTAAGACACACTTTAGGTAAATCATCATTAGAAATCAAGGCTTCCTAAAAAGTTCTAGAGCCTTTGCAAGATTTCAAGAAATTCAAATGACATTCAGTTATTAGTATATGAAACACTGAGTTAGTTCTAGAGTGTCTAATACGCGTATTATATTTCCAAGACTCAGGCAGTATAATGAAAACATGTAAATAGTCTAGATATGTGCCTTTAATGCCATACATTTCCTTCTACTTGTCAAAGGATTAGAAACCAGTTTTGTTACACAGGTCCTTAATTGTAAGAATGCTTTTACTTGCCCAGTTTGTATTGTAATGTGTTGGGTTTTTGTAATTATGGTTAAACCATAGTGGTTGGGCTAGGACTTCATAAATATTATCAGAACTCACATAACTTCTTTACGATATGTGTTCCAAGCTTTCAAAACATCCTTCCAATAAGGATATCGATGTGAATTACTTGATCAACATTTGCACCAGATTTTTAAATGAAATGGAAATTAAACGGAATATCACAGGGATTTTCAATTGTTGTTTTTCTACAATACGATCTCAGGCTAGTTAGTTTCAAAGCTTCACAAAAAGTTACAGTATCAACCATCTTTAATCCACTATTTTTGTATACTCTTTTTAAATTGTTCCTTTTGCTTTTATCAGCTTTGTCATTCTATCTGACTTTGAAAAAGATATTCTCCAATGAAGTAATGAAATCTTTTGGAGGATTAGGCAGAGTATTGAATAGATGAACAAATCTTGACATAGCCAAAGTTTTTATGACAGTTATTTTGCCAATCAGTGTCAAATGTCTTTTCCTCCATTGTAAAAGCAATCTATTTATCTCATCTAGTCCTTTTCTTGTATTGATTACCCACAAATTATTAACATCTGTGTAGAATTTAATTCCCAAGACTTCAAACAAACCTTTTGGCCATTCTATTTTAATGTCTTACATAGAATATCCGTACTATTTCTCTTTCAACTTATTCATATTGCTTTTGTCTTATAAATGTTTATTTTAAGTCCCGACATTTTATAAAAAAAAGTATTAATTTCGTCAGTATTAATTTACGCTTTGTTCATTTCCATCAAGAAATAGTTCCGTATCATCTGCATATTGGTTTAATTTATACTCATTATTGCCAGCAGTAATACCTTTGATGTACTCAATACTTCTAATCATACAACCAAGTATTTCAGCGACAAAAATAATGAGGTATGGTGACAGAGGGTCACCTTGCCTGTATCCACGTTCATTTACGACAAAAATCAGAGTGTTTACCATGTTCGATGACGCAGGATGTTGTTTCATATGTCAGTATATTTATCCAACGACTGTTTTAAGGACCAAAACCGAATTTGGCTAAAACAATATTCAAGAACTCTTTTGATACTGGGTTTCTAGAAATAAGCTATCATCAATAAGAAGGTGTAATTCCTTTGGATTATCATAACTGACTGGTTCAGATATTGTGTATTCATCAATGGTTTCTTTTATTGTATTTCTAACTAAGTTTCCATAATCTGGGAAGCAAGGAATTATTAAACTCCCAATAACCTCTCCCTCTTTCTTGGATAAGAGTTTGAAAAAAAATAGGGAAATAGTAGAATGATCAGATTTATATCCTGGTAAAATATTGGAATAGGTTAGGTCACAAATGTCTTGTGAAATAATGAAAAAATTTAATCTAGTTTGTTGCCCTGGATATTGTTCTCCCACGTATATTTCTTTTAATTTTCATTAAATTCTCACAGAATATCGAAAACGTTGTAATATTCAAGACAGTTCAATACCTCTTCCCTGGAGTTTGGGTTATTTGTGTGTTTATAATTCTCTGTTGATGGGTCTAAGACTAAGTTCCAATCACCCACAATGGCAATAGATTCATTTCCGAAATCATACATATTTTCAAACATGTTTCTATAGAATTTGGGTTATCGTTATTTGGTCCATAGAGATTAGTAAGTGTAATTCGTTCATCTTCTACAGTTAGATCTGCGATGATATACTTTCCATGTTCATCGATAATGATTATTGTTCTATGGATGGTGTAGTCAATATCATTAATCAAAAGTATTACGTCGCTTCTTGCGCTAGATTTATTGGGAGCTTATACATTGCAGACCCCGCTCATAACTTCCTTCCTCTTATATTTGTCAGCTAAACCTCTGCAATTTGATGGAATCATTCTAATTTTTTTGTGTCTTGGTTATTTCAAATGGCGATTTTGTTATGGAAACAATAAGGCTCTAAGATAGACATATATACTGATAAATGACATGGCAGGTTGGAATTGAATGTAATTATATAGGTTTTAAAGGTGTGCCATTTAAGACATGAGAAGTCAATATGGTAAGTGTAGTGTCTAACAAGCGTAACAGAGGGGAACATGTTTGCTTCGATTCATTTCTCGGTGCTCCTATTCTTTTAAATAACTTGAAATTTCAAGTATTTTCTTTTTCTTCAAGTTACTCTCAAAAGCTTTAAATGTCGATTATTTTCTTATTACTTTAATTATTTTGTCTTTGCTTCCTAGGGAAGCGTAGTAGGGCCACGGTGAAAATATTTTTTGGGGTCACTACGTGGGACTTAGTATCTCCTACGTAGTCCATACTATCTTCTACGTAGGACTTAGTATCTCTTACGTAGGACTTAGAATCTCCTACGTAGGACTTACTATCTCCTGCGTAGGACTTACTAACGTAGGACTTAGTATCTCCTACGTAGGACTTACTATCTCCTACGTAGGACTTAGTATCTCCTACGTAGGACTTGCTATCTTCTACGTAGGACTTACTATCTCCTACGTAGGACTTAGTATCTCCTACGTTATTTTGTCTTTGCTTCCTACGGAAGCGTAGTAGGGCCACGGTGAAATTTTTGGGGGGTCACTACGTAGGACTTAGTATCTCCTACGTAGTCCATACTATCTCCTACGTAGGACTTAGTGTCTCTTACGTAGGACTTAGAATCTCCTACGTAGGACTTATTATCTCCTGCGTAGGACTTACTAACGTAGGACTTAGTATCTCCTACGTAGGACTTAGTATCTCCTATGTAGGACTTACTATCTCCAACGTAGGACTTAGTATCTCCTACGTAGGACTTACTATCTCCTACGTAGGACTTACTATCTCCTACGTAGGACTTGCTATCTCCTACGTAGGACTTAGTATCTCCTACGTTATTTTGTCTTTGCTTCCTACGGAAGCGTAGTAGGGCCACGGTGAAAATTTTTTGGGGGGTCACTACGTAGGACTTAGTATCTCCTACGTAGTCCATACTATCTCCTACGTAGGACTTAGTGTCTCTTACGTAGGACTTAGAATCTCCTACGTAGGACTTACTATCTCCTGCGTAGGACTTACTAACGTAGGACTTAGTATCTCCTACGTAGGACTTACTATCTTCTACGTAGGACTTGCTATCTCCTACGTAGGACTTTGTATCTCCTACGTTATTTTGTCTTTGCTTCCTACGGAAGCGTAGTAGGGCCACGGTGAAAATTTTTTTGGGGTCACTACGTAGGACTTACTATCTTCTACGTAGGACTTGCTATCTCCTACGTAGGACTTAGTATCTCCTACGTTATTTTGTCTTTGCTTCCTACGGAAGCGTAGTAGGGCCACGGTGAAAATCTTTTTTGGGGTCACTACGTAGGACTTACTATCTTCTACGTTGGACTTGCTATCTCCTACGTAGGACTTAGTATCTCCTACGTTATTTTGTCTTTGCTTCCTACGGAAGCGTAGTAGGGCCACGGTGAAATTTTTGGGGGGGGTCACTACGTAGGACTTAGTATCTCCTACGTAGTCCATACTATCTCCTACGTAGGACTTAGTGTCTCTTACGTAGGACTTAGAATCTCCTACGTAGGACTTACTATCTCCAACGTAGGACTTACTAACGTAGGACTTAGTATCTCCTACGTAGGACTTAGTATCTCCTACGTAGGACTTACTATCTCCTACGTAGGACTTAGTATCTCCTACGTAGGACTTACTATCTTCTACGTAGGACTTACTATCTCCTACGTAGGACTTAGTATCTCCTACGTAGGACTTACTATCTCCTACGTAGGACTTACTATCTCCTACGTAGTACTTAATATATCCTTTTTAGTTGAGAAATGGCTCCATACGAAATGTGAGTCAGTGAATATTCATGACTTACTATCTCCTACGTAGGACTTAGTATCTCCTATGTAGGACTTACTATCTCCTACGTAGGACTTACTATCTCCTACGTAGAACTTAGTATCTCCTACGTAGTACTTAATATATCCTTTTTAAGGATGGTTATTAAGTTGAGAAATGGTTGGCTATGCAGGACGTTACATAGTCGAAATGTGAGTCAGTGAATATTCATGACACTAACGCAGTGTTACTATACTTAGTTGGTTCGTCACGCCGAAGACCCGGGTTCGAATCCCCACATAGGTACAATGTGTTAAGCCCATTTCTGGTGTCCCCCGCCGTGATATTGCTGGAATATTGCTAAAAGCGGCGTAAAACCAAACTCAGTCAGTCAGTCAGTTGATAAAAATGACCATTCATTTGTTGTTATCTTCCAGTCTAAAAAGTACAACGGAGTCGTTGCTGCTTAGATATAAACACACATGGTCGATGGTGATAATCAGTGTGTGTGTTTCGCTGATCATTTCCACAAAGCCTGGAAGTGATGGGTTCGAGATGATCCAACGACAGTTTAAGAAATCAGTCCACCAGTTCAGCTTCAATGTATCGGTTCAAGAGAAGACGAGGGTAGTGTCCGCCTTGAATTGCTTTGTCCAATGTCGTCAGTTGCCAGGATGTCTTGGAGTACAATACCGAAAACCCACGTCGTCTTGTACGAAGTACCGCCTCTCCAACAACACCTGTGATCCTCCCGTGACACCTGGTGTTGGTGTTTGGTATGTTACAGGTAAACGGGCACGTTTGTATTTCAATCTGATCAAGTCCGTGAAGATCCGAGTTAGAACTGATCTTCAGTAAGCCATGCTTGTCGTAAGAGGCGACTAGCTGGATCGGGTGGTTTGGCTTGGTTGACACAACATGGTATCTCGGTTGCGTAGACCGATGCTCATGATGTTGATCAGCGGGTTGGTCCAGACTAAATTATTTACAGACCACCTCCATATCCCTGGAATATTTGTGAGTACTGCGTAAAACATGAATTCACTCACTCACTCACTCAATATGAGTGAGTGAGTTGGGTTTTACGCCGCTTTTAACGATATTCCAGCAATATCACGGCGGGGGACACCAGAAATGGGCTTCACACATTGTACCGAAGTGGGGAATCGAACCCGGGACTTTGGCGTGATGAGCCAACGCTTTAACCACTAATCTACCCCACCCCACCCCACTTAATCTGATCAAAGAATAGTAGTAACATATTTAGTTCAACTCATGGAGGATCTGAGGTGGAAAATACCTTTAAGATGAATAAAATCATAAACTCCAATATCCTTTTCTGTAAGAGATAAACAGGGTAAAAAGAATTCAGGTTATGAAACAATTGCATTAGTATAACAACAGTTGTGCCCATACAACTCTAGTATTACTATGGATTCAAGACTTCAACTTCAGTTGAAATGACATTTACCCTCATCATCTGTTATCCCATGTTTTGATATGTTGCCAATAGTTTTCTGTTTGATGAGGACGTTGACATGACGTCATGTGTGATGTCATGATAACGACTGACATTTTTCACAGCTGAAGGTGTTTTATCAGATTTTTTTCAAGAAGGTTTGAGGTAAAAACATGTTTTGAGAAGGAACATGTTCGGCATGTGATCGTAGATGCTTTGCTGAAACAGGTAAATAGGAAATAATAACAATTAAAAAACACACACACAGGATACATGTTTTCCGTAACATGAAAGGTGTGATTATTTTTGGGACTTAAATTAAAAGTTCATCACACCTTT